CTGTTCTGGCCAGGAGGGACAAGGACGTTGTCTCTCCCGGGCACTGGGTGCTAGGGGTGGGGGACACACCAGGGGCGTGCTGGTGCTGGTGCTGGTGGGGCAGCCGATTGCTTAGGGCCTAAGGCCATTGTCTTGGGGTTGGGAGTTGTGGACCCCCATCATTTGGGGGAAACTCCCCTAAGAATCCTCTGCCGAAATCATTTCCAAGCGTGATTTTTTGGAGGGGGATGGAAATTGGGGGAGAGCTGCTTGACTAAGAGACCTTTCTCCTTAATACAAGGCTGGAAGCGGTGACAGGTCAGCGCCAAGGTCATGCAGTCAGACCCTTTGCTTGCTTCTGGGACTGGCTCCTCTGAGCCGGGCAGAGAAGCCTACAGGCTCCCATATCCAGGGTGCATCTGGGCTCACTTCTCATCTCCTCCGCCACAGTTGGGGGGCTGCTGGTCCCCGAGTTTCCCTCTGGCTCACACATCCCCTCAATTTGTCCTCAGACTTCTCATTCGGCCAGGAACTCTGCTCTCTCACCTGGCTGGCCTCCTCATCTCTCTCCTGGTTTAAGTTCGCTCCATTGGCTCCCCTTTCATGAAATCCCTAGGTCATCGCTTCAAGTTCATTGTAGGTCACGTCCACACCCACTGTGTGCTGGATGTTGTTAGGAGGACTATTCAATAGTCACTCAACAAACAGTTGGGTGGCCACCTATTATGTGTGTGCCCTGGGGACACAGCTGTGAAAACAGCATGGTCCCTGCCTCTCAGAATGCAAATCTAGTGAGACACGAAGAACATCTGAACAGGCTTGTACGGTTCTTATTGACCACCTTCAGCACCAAGGCGACACAGCTGCTTAGGGGTCCTGGTGAGATCTAAACGTGGGGCTCAGGGAGGTTTTCGTTAGGCGTCCAGTATGAGGATGGCCTGGTGATGCTGCCTTCACTTCTAGAACAAGTTGTTGAACTTTTTCTGTCAAGGGCCAGGTAGTACATATTTGTTTCTTCGAAGGCTGCAAGGTCTGTGTCTCAACTATTCTGCTCTGACTGTGGTGCTGAACAGCCATAGACAATAGTCAATGAATGGGCGTGGCTCTGTTCCAATAAAACTTTATTTGTGAACACTGAAATTCGAATTTCATATATTTTGCATGAGTCAAGGAGTATTAATCTCCTTCTGACTTTTTTTCCCAAACATTTAAAAGTGTACAAACTGTTCTTAGCTGAAGTGCCGCACAGAAATAGGCTGGCTGCGGGCTGGATTTCTCAGCCCTGTTATAGAATGTCTGCGTTTGCTTTCATCCTGTTTCTTTCTGGCTTGAATCAGTTCTCCTCCATTGGATCAAACACGTGAACCCAGGAGGCCCAGGGTGAGGAAAGGCTCACAAAGCTTGCTGATAGCATCAGAGCATCTTCCCTTTCCTCTTTCTTCATCTTCCTTGGTTTTTCTTTGCTCTCTGACACTTACCTTGCACCTGGGTCTTGAGAAGGCTGGCTGGTTGTTCCTTAGCAGGGACCCTGAGGTGGCCTTATCTCTGCTCATCACGGTTTTATAAACGGCTCTCCGATCACCACATACTGAGGAAAGGCTTTCCTAAATGAAGATAATGGGCATGGATTGTGAAAAAGCATCCCTTTATCCTTGTACTTTGTTGGAAGCTTTTTAAAGCACTTGCTCTTGTATGCCCGACGAGGACATAGCTTTTTGCTGCTTTGCTCACCAAGATAGTCCCTGGTGCCTGGTTGGTTCCAACTGGTCTTGAGAAACCATCCTGTTCTCACGAACCACAGAGAGGGGGCAGATGTTTTGCAGCTGGGCAACACACAAGCGTTTTCACAGCGTCCTGGGTTAGTCTTTCCATAGAGGAAAGAGGTAACTGAGGCTCAGAGTGGCCCCTTCACTTGCCCAAGTCACATGATTGATTGGCTAGTGGTGAGGCCAGGACTAGCACTGTCTCTACTCAGCTCTCTCCATGT